AAATTGTCCATAAAAATTTGTTTGGGTCAAAATTGAATAATTTGTAAAATTTTGGGTCAAATAGAGGTTAGATTAAATTAGAGGATGAAATTGGAGCTTATTAAAATATAATAGGCTATTTTAGTCTTTTACAAACCTCTAGACCATGTGTGGACTTTTTTGTAAAATAATGTATTGTCTGGACCTCTTTAGGAATAAGTACCCATAGATGTGCTTATTTGTAAAGTGTTCATAATTTAAAATAGAACTTAAAGTGTGTTCGAGGGAATTAAGTGTTACAAATAATACTTAAATGGGGTAAGTGTTACAAATATATGCTATAGAGGGGTATTTAACTTATCTGTTAGAAATGTAAGTGTTACAAATGATTTTTTTTTTATATTTTTCTTTTCAACACCCTTAAAGATATTGTCTATGTTTTTTTCCTAATCATTACATAGATTTTATTAAGTTTGTAAAAGGTAGGAATCGGACCGAGTCAGATAGATATCACCTCACGATTTAACAGTGCGGCCATGGTTAATCGACGATAAATCAAAAATAAATCGATTTTTTTAATTTAATGTAATATAATTCTAAATATTATTTGTTAATGCTCAAAACTTATATAAAAGTATCTTTAAACATGATTCTATCGCCATCATTTATATATCATAATCATATAATAAAATTTTAATAACAATAAGATCATAATATAATTAAAATCCTTACAAAATAAAATAAAAAGAAAATCTTGTCCATCCCAATATATGCTTGAATATGACAAGCATATATTAGATCCATTAAAAATAAAAATTAAGATTAACAAAATAAAACAAAGCATAAATTCATTTTTTATTAAACTCTAACTTTTTTTTATTTAAAAAAAAAGCGATTTTTGACCATTTCTACACCCAAAGTTTGACCCGTCTCCATGGCTTGACCGCCTCAACCTGCCTCGAACCGCCTAAAACCGCCTTACAGACAAAAATCGATTTTTGAAACCTTTACACCAAAATTGTAAAGATTTTGGACCGCTTATGCCTCGAAGACCGATTAATCGGTCGCCTCGACCGATTTTTAAAATACTAAATTTTTTACATCTCTCAAAATCAAGCACATACACGAATCGCGTAGGACCCAAGTAAGCAGTAATTTGGTGCCGGTCAGAACTAGAGGTGTAAATGAGTCAAGCCGGCTCGCGAGCTTCTGGAGCTTGCTCGAAAAAAGCTCGTACTTGAGCTCGAAAAATCGAGCTCAAGCTCGAGTTAGCGAGCCCGAGCTTTTCGACGAGCCGAGCTCGAGCTTCATTTCGGTTGTTCGACAGCTCACGAGCTTTACCTTTTTATATTTTTTAATACTTATTAATAATATATAATAATGGATATTATTAATAAAAGGGGAAAGTACAGTTTGCACCCCTGAACTATAGGGCTTGTCGCAAACACCCCCCGAACTATGAAACGTACCAAAACGACCCATGTCATTTACGGTCAACGTTAACAAAATTAACACCGTTAGTTTTATTGTACATTTACTTAATTGCCCTCAAATTTTGCTTACTAAATTGGACCAAGTCAACAACCACTTCTCTCTCTCCTCTCTCTATTTCTCTCTCTCCTATTCTTTCTCTCTCTTCTCTCTCTCCTATTCTTTCCTTTTCATTTGCAGGTGATGCCCGCCCCCTCTCTTCACTTTCACACTTTTATTCTTTTTTCTTCATTTTCTGTCGGCGGTGCCCCCTTCTCTCTCGCTCTATTTCCACCCCTTTGAAGAGCTTCACTCGAATCCGACCAATTAGCCCAACTCGGTGTCAAATCAAGAAATACTTAAATGTATGGCCTCTTCAATAATGAAGACCTCGTCGATGGAGATGATGAAGAATGTTCTAACAAAAGACGATTCTGCCTCGCCGCTGTCACCGTTGTCTCTGCCGCCCAAGTCACTGCCGTCGTCTCCGATCCCCACAACAGACTACAACAATAAGAAAATGATCAACATAAACCCATCGTCGCCAAGAAACGCGTCCCACCCGACGAATTCCACAAGCTTTTTCGGTGCCTGTGGACCGACGAAGACGAAGGGATTTATCGACTAGACCACCCAACAATTTGGGGTCAACGATTTCTCCCAACACTTGGGGATTAATTCATAATTACAAAAGCAATTTAAGGTCAGTGGTAGCCAGGAAGATTTGGAAGCAGAGAGTTGTTGTGTTTGAATGAATTCTAAATGCCCAAAATTCAATTTTTGTAATTTCTTCTATTTCTCTGCAAATTTTTACGATTTTTTAAAATTCATTTCCTGCTTTAATTTAGTTTAGTGTATTTGTTAATGATATTAGTTATATATATATATATATATATATATATATATATATATATATATATATATATATATATATATATATATATATATATATATATATATATATATATATATATATATATATATATATATATATATATATATATAGAGAGAGAGAGAGAGAGGGGGGTAAAAACGTCAAGAAAATGCTGCAGACTCAAAATTAATTAAGAATCAAAAAAGTCACTTGACACGTCATCACACACAAACGGGTTGAAAACGGAGGGACCATTTTGGTACGTTTTGTAGTTTAAGGGGGTGTTTGTGACAAGCCCCATAGTTCAGGGGTGCAAACTGTACTTTCCCCTTAATAATAAATAAAAAAGAATAATATTACTTTTTTAATTGAATGAAATTTTGGTTGTGCCGAGCTTGAGCTCCTTAGAAACACAACAAGCTCGAGCTCGAGCTGAAAATCATAGGATCGTCGAGCTCGAGCTCGAGCTCGGGAAATAAGGCGAGCTCGGCTCGTTTACACCCCTAGTCAGAACAATCATATACGCGGATTGCCCAAAAGTGGGTCAAACTATCGATTTTCACCTCTAACATAGGGTCAATGGGGTTAAGAGGCATTTAACATAGGTTCACACCAATGAATAAAAACGTTAAATAATTCTAAATATAGAGGAAATATCTGTATTAGACAAGATTTTTTTTTCTTTTTCTTTTTTAAATTCAAACCCAGTTACAAATAGTGAAAGTAGGGGATGAGGCAGCAACCAACCCTCATTAGGAGAGTTGGTACCTAGCCTTACCAATAGGGTAAAAAGGTCTAGGGTTCGAGTCCCCCCTCCCCTACTTCCCCTTGTAATGACTTGAATTACTCAAAAAAAAAAAAAAAAGGGGGATGAGGCAGCATTTGAACCCTTGACCTGTATTCTAATATTACAGGGTTATAAAATATTTATTCCTCGCTAAAAACACATTTAATGCCAAAATTCTATAAAAAATAATACGAAATTAATGTGGTTTGGAAAATCATAATTTATTTAAAATTTGCATTGATAACATCAATAAATGGAACCGTAAATAATAAAGTTTGAAAAGAGGTCCGAGAATATTGTAGCTAATATTTATTTACTTTTATTATTTCTAAGTTTTAACTAACTTTAATTTAATTCGGGTATATAAATCATAGGCTAAAAGAAAGGCGCATAATTTAAAATAAAGATCAGTTAATTCAAAAACGATGTTATTTTTCTTATTTCTGTTGAGCTGGTGAGCGGTTTATGGAATGTGATATTTTACGTTAGACTGTACACTTAGAAGCATCAATGGAAAGATTGAGGAAAGTCCTACACTTCTGAAATTACATGTGAAGAAGCATCAATGGAAAGATTGAGGAGAGTCCTACACTTCTGAAATTACATGTGAAGAAGCATGGCAATGGAAAGATTGAAGAGAAGAGATTGAAGAGATGGAATGTGATATTTTACGTTAGACTGTACACTCAGAAGCATCAATGGAAAGATTGAGGAGAGTCCTACGCTTCTGAAATTACATGTGAAGAAGCATGGCAATGGAGAGATTGAAGAGAGTCCTACAAGACTGAATTTACATATGAATAATGTTTTTTAGTTACGTGCTTAACACTTTTCCTTATTGTTTTTTCTTTTCTTCTTTTACAGTAAACATCACATTTTCTTATTGAATGTTTTATTCTAATTTTTGTGTGATTATATTCAAAATAAGAAAAGAGAAAAAAGAATAGCACTTAAAATTGAAAGAGAATAAGCATAGTCAGTTGATGAGTTTACAATGAACATATTTTTATTTATAGGCTTCAATAAATAATTCTAGAGACCTACTAGAATTGATCTATCTCTAAAATTTTCTTTGTGATCTAGATAATTTTGAACCTCTCAAAATATGGATGCATGCATATCTCATAACATTTAGATGGATGCAATCCATGTTGGTAGCTAGTCTTCTTGAATAATTTAGATATTTATAAACATTTTTTAAATGAGTTAAGGAAAAAAAAAACGGTTACGGCAAATAGGTCTATAATTATGTTCAACTTTTTTGTTTTGCAAATATATCCTCTCCTCTAATACTTATTTGATATTAAGGAAAACTCTCTCGTATTTGAAACCAAAATTACGCCAACTAATTAAAACCCTGATTTAATTTTAATTTCATTATTTGAACCCTATTTAAAAAAAAAAAGGGATTTTTGACCGATTTTTACCACCAATTTTTGACCCGCCTCCAAGACTTGACCGTCTCAACCCGCCTCGAACCGCCAAAAATCACATCATAGGCAAAAAATTGATTTTTTAAACCGTTACACCAAGATCGTAAAGGTTTTAGACCGCCTCCGCCGCGGAGACCGATTAATCGGCCGCCTCGATCGATTTTTAGAATACTGAATTTTATACGTCCCTCAAAATCGAGCACATGTAAAAAATCACGGGGGACCCGAGTAAGCAGTAATTTGGAGCCGATCAGATCGATCAAACAACGTGGATTGCCCGAAAGTTGGCCGGACGACAGATTTTCACCTCTAGCAATGGTCAATTGGGTTAAAAGGCATTTACCATAAGTGCGCACCAATGAATAAAAATGTTAAATAATTCTAAATTTATGGGAGAAATCCGAATTATAAGAAATTCAAATCCTATTACAAATTGAAAATAGAAGAGGGACACGATTCTAACCCACCTATACTTTAATAATAAAGGCTATAAAAACATTTATTCCTTGCTAAAACCACATTTAAAAATACTAAATCATATCATACAACACTCAAGATTTTAGGCCATCTGCAAATACAGCAGCAAAAGCATCCATTCTCTCCTTAGGCATAGACAATCCAATCTCCAATCCTCCTTCAGAATCATTAGACTTGCACAACGAAATCGAACACCTCTCTCCATCAATCGACACAACTTCGAGCTTTCTCGCTCTTCCCCATCCAAAATCCGCATCACAAAAATCGAACCTCGGCGAACCCGAAACCCCAACGGCCCGGTCCAACATATGATTCTTACTTCCATCCATCCAATTCTCAACGCCTCTCAAAACCTCGTCTTTGTTGTTAATCCTGTTCTTGATATCCTCAGCCATGTATTCAGCCGCAACTGACAACCCTTCTTCACCGACTAGCTTTCCATGCTCGATTTCCGCAGTACCTGAAACAAAGACAAGGTAGCCTGTTGGTAAGCACGTCCCACTTAGGACCTATTTGGTCATGGGTTCGGGTCAACCAGTAACTAATAAAATAAAATAAAATAAAGATTTTTGGTAAACCTGCGCCTAGGCAATTGCCGAAGTAATTAGTGGGCACTGCTGGATTTATCCGCTCGCGAATGTCGACTGCGAATACGAAGTATTCATGCGTGTTCTGATCTTCTTCCTCTACATGATCTGCAGATTTCACTAAGGTTGTCCAAATGTAGGACGCAGTTACGACAAAAGACGACACGTGGCCTAAATCCGGTTTCTTGGCAAGAACCATTTCTTTGAGCTTTTTAATGTCGGATTGGTGGAGAGTGAACGTGGCTCTGACCCTGTTCGTCGGTATCGGGAACGACGATGGTGTGAACGGAATCTTTCCCACCGCTTTCCAGAATATATCGTCGATTTTGAGAGGGTCGTTGATAACGGATCTGTCGAAAATCGGCGGAGATAACACTGATTCTCCGGCGAGATTGCACATGGAAGCCCATGCCCGCACAAAGCCGACGATCGATCTCGCGTCGCCGAGGCAGTGGAGGTTGGAGAAGCCGATACAAATTCCACGGCCGGGAAATAGCGTCACTTGAAGAGCAAATACAGGGACTATTTTGTACTCGGAATCTTCCGTTGCGGGCGGGATTTCCGGCACGAAGTCGTAGAACTGGTCGGCGTCGCGTGGGTGGTTCCCGACGAGTTCGTCGAAGTTGCCGCCGGAGACGGCGATTTTCACGGAGATGGAGTCGCCGGCGACGTAGCGGATGAGGGGCTTTCGGCGGTCAGGGTTTAGAGGGTAGAGGAGATTTCCGGCGAGTGGGAGATAGTGTTTGAGGGTGAGGGAGAGTGATTCTTTGAGTTTTGGAATTAGGGTTTCAGAGAAATGAGATTCGGAGCAAGAATATTCGTAGAAGAGAAGGTAGTGCATGGTTTGGAAGTGAATCCAGACAATGTCTAAGAAGGTAAGTGGGAGTTGTAGCTCGGCGGCGGCGGCGGCGGAGTCAGGCGGAGGCGGAATCCGGCAGGTTTCAAGCAAAGTCGTCTTCATAGTATAGCGACCTTAATTCAATAAAACAAGTGATTTGTTTGGAAACTATATAAAATATAAAGATATATAAATAGACACATGTTTTAAATATTCATTTTGATAATGTATGTTTCTTTAGAAGATAACACACTTATATATATTTTGGGAAATTAGCGGGGGTTAAAACGTGGTGAATGGTGGTTATGGTGGTTTGGTAAAAAGAATTTAATGTAAAAACATGCGTTGGAGTAAGATGATACGATAATAGATCGATTAATTATTAGTTAGTTAGTATTTTATTATTTAATTAATTGTTTAGTTAGTATTTTATTAGCATAGTACAATTAGATTGAATATAGTATGGTTGTTAGGGTTAGGAAGATTAGGGGATTATTAAGTGTTTAATTAGTATAGGTAATTAATTATCTTTCCTAGTTAGATTAGGATTCTAGGGTTTTAATATCTTTAAATAGTCGTCTTGTGCTAGAGTTTTTATAATGAAGAGAAATAATAAAGAAGAGTTTTTCATACGTTTCGTAAAAAAATCTTATGATACACAAGAGATCGTATCAACTGGTATCAGAGCGAAGTTGCGATAACAAGTTGCGATAACACCAACGCTTCGTTAGCAAGGCAGCAAAGTCAAGGACGACGTCAACGCCATCACAAAAGCCGAAGGGACCGCTGCCCGTCATCGCCACGGCCATCGCCACCACCGCCACTGCCGAGCCTATCGCCACAGGGATAGGAAGAGGATGATGATGACTTTTTCGAAGAGCCCTAATTTTTTGTGAGTTCGTCGAAAGAAGAATTATCGGATTCACTTGAGGTAATTTGGGACGAAGACGAGAAATTAACCGAGGAGGAGAATGAAGAATCACTCGTCTTAAGTGAGATAATTTGGAACGAACAAAAGAAGTTAAGTAGCGAGGAGAACGAAGAATTAGTAAATATATTGGAAGGATGCCACAACTTCCAAAAGAAAGAAGACGAACAAGAATTGGTGATTGTGAATGAGCCGGAATCTGAAAATGTAATTGAAGAGCCTTATTTCTTGGGAAAAATATTGAGAATTTTTCCAAAAGCCTTTAGGAGTTCGTTCGATCAACATAAACAATGTGTTAAAGATCTTGATCGTTCGTTATGTTTTTCGGAATCAATCGGGAAGCAAGTCGATGAACAAATTGATGAAGTCAAACATAGGTGGAAACGCGAAGATAAGGGACCAAATGGACTCGAACCTTGAGGACAAGGTTCATTTCAAGAGGGATGGTTTGATACTATATATTAAATAATATATCGATTCATTATTAATTAGTTAGTATTTTATTATTTAATATATTATTTAATTAATTGTTTAGTTAGTATTTTATTAGCATAGTATAACTAGATTGAATATAGCCGTATGGTTGGTAGGGTTAGGAGGATTAGGGGATTATTAAGTGTTTAATCAGTATTAGAGGATTAGGGGATTATTAAGTGTTTAATCAGTATTAGGACCGGCAATTGAGCCGGGCCTACCCGAAGCCCGATAGTTCGGACCGATTATATTTGAGCCGAACCCGATTAATTGTGGGCCGGGCCGAGTTTGAGCCGTTTAATTCAACCCGATTAAACTATGAGCCGAGTTTAAGCTTACCATGGCTCAGCCCGAATAAAGCCCGACTAAATTAATATATATATATATATATATATATATATATATATATATATGGAAAATGTGGGATAACCCCTAGTTTTGAAAATATATAGGGTTAGGTCCTATGTATTTTTCTTGTCTAGTCAAAAACACAAATTATAAACTTAATTTGGTAGACCCCCCTAGACAAATTAAAATACCCATTTTGAACTTTTAGTTATAATTTAAAACCCTAACCCCTAATTTTTTTCTCCCACTCCCTTCCCCTTTTTTTTTTGTGACGTCATTTCCTCTCACCCATTCTCTCTCTTCATATCTCTTTCTCTAACTCTCTCTCTTCTCTTTCTTTCCCTCTCTTCATTTCTCTCTCTAACTCTCTCTCTTCTCTTTCTTTCTCACTCTTCATCTCTCTCACTCTGTGGCTGCCTGTTGGTCGAAAACCTACACGCAAATGCACGTATCGTACAAGTAATATAGTGGACAATTAAGTCCGGATATCGAACCCACAGGGAATATTTAAGTATCTAATCCTAGACGCTAAATTCTACCAATTATTATCAAGCCCACCCTATACAGTCGACTTTAGAGAGAATTAACTAAAATAAATTAAAAAGCAAATTAAAACGACAAAGCAAGAAAGCAAATTAAACACGAAGATTTATCAGAGTAAACGAGCCTAGGATTTTATTTTTCCCCCTATGTGATTATTATTCTCCCAATTCCTTCAATTATGCAAGCAATTAACCCGGATTATTAACCTGAGATGCTAAAATAATCATAACCCGCTTCCGCGTGTATTACAATTCTAATATTCTAGATTCAATTACTATATTCCTATGCAATTAATTCTAGAACACAGCATTAAGCATAAATCTCAATAATGGCTACCTAACAGATTAACTATATTCCTATGTTAATACCACAAAGGCTCTTCTACCACAGTTCTAATTATTAACCCGATCTTCCGATTCATGCGATTAACAATAACATAAAAGCGCATAAAGTGGCCAGTTTCATGAACTTAATAAAACAAGTAGAAGAAATAATCCGGAATTAAAACTTGCATAAAATCATAGAAAAGGGTACATAAATCTCACATAGGGTTCCAAATAAAATCCTAGAAATAAGAAATTTAGCTACTCATGATTAAAGGAAAAACACAAATAAAATAAGTCATAAACGATAAATCTATGCTTAGAGTCTTCGAATTCTTCGTCTTCGTTATTGCTTTGTTGCTCTCCAAATTGCGTAAAAAAGATCCCTAATTGTGTGCTTGGCTTGGTCTTATATAGGGTGAAGAACTTGGGGAAGAAGGCAGTTTCCTTGTGCAATTAAAATTCCTTTACTGCGCAACTTCGGAGTCTCGGACGGGGGTCTCATAATTTGAACTAAAATTGGGACGGGGGTCTCAGCTTTAAATCTTCAGAATTTTGATATTTTCACTTTTGACCCATATTTTCGCCAAAATTGCAGTTTTGACCCCATACTTTTCCAATTCTTCAATTTGTACCTAAAATACAATAAATCAACTTTTTAAGCACCAATTATCGTTAAAACACACCAAAAGCTCAAATAAAAAGATACGATAAAGTGTAAAAATATACACTTAACACACCCCCAAACTTGAACTTTTTTGCTTGTCCTCAAGCAAAATTTACCAATAAGCAAATAACTCAACGATAACATCTCATCACATAGATCAATGACCAACTTCACGTTTTCAGAACTTGTAATTATAATGACAATTCTTAGGCATTCGCAAGCTCAAAATTCAACAACACTTAGTCACTCACCATTACCAAAAACCACAATTCATACAATTGCTTCAAGCATCCAATATTTGCAAATTAAAGATAGAAAAAATTTATACTTACATGCACATGCTTGAATCCAAATACTCACCAAATTATTCTACTCTACTAATATCGAATATTAAGCTATTGGGATCATTGGGGCTTTGTGGCTTTCAATTGTTAGGCTCTTTGGTTCGAGGTAGGAAATATGGGTATGTGTCGCTATTCTTCTTGAATTTAGGTGATTACGCCAAAATTTGAAAGATAGGCGTTTGAAACAATGAATTCACCTCTACGGACTTTAATAAACTCGATTCTCAAAAGTTCAACAGTCTCCACTTTTGCCCCCCCCCCAATGGATGGAGTTTTCACAAATATTTCAACAACTAGTCCTTATTTCTCCCTTCTAGTCTCTTCTTCTTCTTCTTTTTTTTTTTCTTTTTTTTTTTTCTTTTTTTTTTTTTTTTTTTTTTATATATATAGAAGCATAGATATTTGTCTTCTTTTTTTTTTTTTCTTTTTTTTTTTTTCGAAGAAGAAGAAGAAGGACCTTATAAAAATTTTCGACCAAACTCCAAGGGATAAGTTTTTCAAGAATCTCCACATATTCTCCCTTACACATTGGCTAACAGAAGACACCTTTTCTCCGAGGCTCAAAACAAGGTTCTAAGGATAATTTCGATAAAAAGGTTGGCTTGAAAGGCTCAAACGGTTCAGAGAAGGCCCAAATCATATCCCAAATCACTCACTACTCAATACTTCGTATCATAAATTTCCTAAGGTGAGTCTTAAAACCGAACATAGCATGATCTAGCACAAATTAATTCCGAATTTAAAATACAAAACATTCAACAAAAGCAATGCACAAAATGTGATTCCTAGCAATAATTCGCTTCTAAGTCCCGTTGAATCGAAAGCTAAACAAACATCAAATCCTTATCACATAAAACAAGCAATTTCATCATCAAACATTGATCATCTCTCATCATCATAAATCATCGATGCATTCGACTCAAGCAAATTTTTTTTTTTCTTTTTATATTCCGGAAAAACGAGAAAAACAATAAAAATGAATAAAACCTAATGCATGCAAACTAAAACAAATAAGCACAAAAATAACATGTTTTTCACCCCCAAACTTAAAATTTTCGTTGCCCTCAACGAATTTAGCACAAAGTTTAAGGATAGAAAACACCTTATTTAGTCGGAGTTGATGTGATCGGGGTGGTGCTCCTCCCTCGCTCTCTCATGCTCATCCTCATCGGAAAGCTCGGGTACGGGCTCAAGAATGGGTGCCGGTAAAGGTGCCGGTTCGATGCAATCGGCCGTCCCGCATCCCAAGTGTTGGACAATAGCTTGTAGCATCTTGCTCGACCACCGTTGAAGTGCCTCCACCGTATTGACTTTATGCTCGACGGTAGTCAATCGGTTCCTCGTAATTATCATCTCTCGCTCCATCTTCTTTCGAAATCGTCGATCGGAACGGGAGCTTGAGGCTTCGGGCTCGTCTCGGGCTTGAAGAGCGGCTTGCGGCTCGTCATAGGTGGCTTCTTTGAATAGCGAGGCCGCAAAATCGGCAATCGGCTTCCGGATGTTGAGCTCGATATCATTTGGCAATTTGGGGACCTTCTCTCTTTTGCACAATCCCGTGACGAGGCTAGGAAAGAAGATGCCCTTTGTATTGTCGCGCATGGAAAGC